TCGAGCCATTGCAGTATGTTTGACGCTGGCTCTGTTTTTGGCAGTTTGGCCGGACTGCCGCATTTTCCAATGTGTTTCACTTCAGTTTCAGCTGATTTCGGCCTCTCCATCGTTTTTTGTATGTTTACCAGGCCGGGTAGCCATGTATAGCCGGTATAGCTTGACTGGACACACCATTCATTTTCATCTTGGTTTGTTATATCCCCAATATCTTTATTTTATAATATTATTTTTATTGGTGTCTCGATTTTTTCCTAATTTAAAAATTATAATTAGTGGCAAGGTTGACCAACCTTTTGGGCCAGAAAATAATTACAATATAAAAAACAAATATCTTATTATTAATTTGTAAAATTATTCAGGACAATAATGGGTGAAAATAGCTTTGGAAATGATAGTTTTCTGCTTTGGAAATGATATTTTTTTGTTATCATGAAGCCTGATGATATGTAACCTGTAGAGTTGTTCAAGGGGAAAATGGGTGAAAATAGTTTGGGAAAGGATATTTTCCCATATAGAATTAAATGGATGAAAATTATGTGGGGAATGATATTTTCCTGCACATGCAGTTAGTTAGCAATCACAAAGCCTGATGACATGTAATTTGTAAAATTACAAAAAGAAAAAAATAACTAAAAATAGGTGAACATAATTTGGGGAATGGCCTATACCCATAGGTATTCTGCAATCGCGAAACCGGATAATATGAAATTTGTGCAGCTGCTCAAGGGGAAAATGGAGTAATATAAATAAACATAGCATGGGGAATGATATTTTCCTGCACACGCAGGTAGTTACAAAGCCTGATGACATGTAACCTGTAAAATTGAAAAAAAGGAGAAAATTAAGGAAAATAGAAGAAAATAGTTTGGGGAATGGTATTTTCCTATACATATAGGTACTTTGTAACCGCGAGGCCGGATGACATGAAATCTGTGCAGCTGCTCAAGGGGAGAATGGGGTAATAAAGATGAAAATAGCCTGGGGAATGATATTTTGCTGCTTACGGAGGTAGTTGGCAGCCACAAAGCCTGATGACATGTAACCTGTAAAGCTGCAAAAAGGATAAAATAAGTGAAAATAGATGAAAATAGCTTGGGGAATGGTGTTTTCCTACACAATCGGCCTGATGGCATATAATTTGTAGAGCTATACAAGGAGAGAATAATGGCAAATTATGTTTTCCTAAACGTATCAAGTAGTTTGTAACATCGTGGCCTGATGGCATGTAACCTGTAGAGCTGCTCAAGGGGAGAATGGATGAAAATAATTGGGAGAATTGTATTTTGGAATCGCGTCGCCCGGTTGATATGAGTTACTGAAGGGAAGAATGGATGAAAAGAATTTGGGGAATGGTATAAATTGTTTGCAATTGAAAGGTCTGCTGACATGTAATTTGTAGAGCTTGTCAAGGGAAAATAAATAAAAATAGCTTGGGAAATGATATTTTCCTACATACATAGATGGTCTGTAACCGCGTGGCCTGATGATATAGAACTTCTTTGCCCAAGGAAAAAATAGGGGATTTGGGGAATGGTATTTTCCTACATGCATAGGTAGTCTGCAACTGCGTCGCCTAGTGGGATGTAACCTGTAGAGCTATTCAAGGGGAGAATGGATTAAATTAATTTAGGGAATGGTTTTTTCCTGCACGCGTAGGTAGTTTGTAACCGCGACGCCTGATGATATGTAGGTTTGGATTTTGGACGTGTAGATTTGGGCAATTTTGGAAATTTCTGCTGACGAATTATCATAGGGGTTGTACTAATTGGCTTATTGGAGGTGGTTGTAATTAATGGATATATAGAATGTTTATCAAATGAATTTTATCTATTTTTTATAATTAATGTAGAAATAATCGGCATGGGAATAAATTTATTTTTCGAATGGGTACTATTGTAGTTCGGTTACTATCCTTTTCTTTGTAGCATCAATATATTTTCCAGCAATTCCCAAAGCTATTCACGCATATTTAATTTTCACCTGGGTCTACAAGCCAGATAATTGATAATTGGGAATTGGGATCAAAAAATCCACGGGTCTGGCTCTCAGGCTCAATTTACTTAAATAATATAAATTATAAATAAGGCAAGGGTAAACCATATCGCAAAACTATATATCATATGATTCCTGGACCGAAAACATATGGACGAATATTTACGTTATCTATCGAGAAAATCACCACAAAATATTCATATTACCGGGCCCTAATATAATAATTTTCAATTTTTTTATATTTTATTAAATATAAAA